GACAGAAGAAAACGCTATCTTTTCATGATTACTGTGTATACATATGATGATAATGTGTATACATTACAAACTTGGCATTAATACCATGATAAGAAATTAGATAAGGCAATTATTACTTATCACTCTCATTCAAAAGTATATTGAAAAGATAGCGTTTTCTTCTGTCCTTTTCTCAATACGTATTTCAATGTTTAATACCGTAAAATAATACATGAAAATTCAAATTTTCACAAACTTCAAAACGCTACAGAATATTTACTACTGAATATTAATAAGATATTTTTTTACTAAAATTTTTCTTAAATTCTACTCTACAAAATAGCTATCTTAGATTTTTTTTTTACTTTTTATTTAAAATTTAAAAATAATTAATATTTTTAATAAAATGTAAAAAAATTAATTATTGAGATATAGCTATAGACCTAACGTATAACTATTATTTAAAAAAAAATCAGCTAAAAATATTAACTGGATCAAAAGTTATTTAAGTTGTCAGTGAGTGGTGGGCCACTCTGTATATATATCTTAAATTAAAGATTATGTAATATAATTTATTATGGAAAAAAAAAATTCGGAGTTTATTTTGTCTTCATGGTGAAAATGGCTACCGTATGCTAGTTTTGTTTCTCGATATTATATTTTACATTTTTAACTTTTGAAACATTGAACAAATTTCCCTCGTTCCCCGTAAATTGGAAAACCAAAAAAAAAGCTACATGATCTGCCATTTCCTTATTAATATCCTGATTAAGATAAAGTATATCGAATGAAAAAGGGATATTAAATACTATTTTACATAAAAAAATTGTGTTGATCCATACACTAAGATATAGCATTATAAAGTTAAAAATGTAAAAAATAAAATCGAGAATTTTCAAACAAAAATAGCATTTGGTAGCCATTTTCACCGTGAAGACAAAATAAAGTTTATTACATTAGCTTTAATTTAAGATATATATAAAAGTGTCAGACCTTCCGGAACACTTTCAAAAGTTAAGTTGAAAAAGTAGTCATTTTAAATCCCTCCCTGTGGCCTGGTAAAGGGTCAGAATTATAAATAAAATATATCAAATGATAGATAAAGACATCAAGTATCTATGAAAAAAAAAAATATTGATTTGTTTATTTTTGGAAAAGTTATAGCAGTTTTAAGAAAAAAAATTGAAAACATTTCGAAAATTAGCGATTTTTAAATTTATAATTTTTTTGGAGGTTTCCCCAATTTATGGGAAACGAGGGAAATTTTTTAATTTTTGAGGATAATGTTTTCGACTAGATACAATTTGTGATCTTTTGTCGTATTGTTGAATGAAATCGGTTCGGTAAGAGCTGAGAAAAAGTGGTAACAGACATAACAAATAAAAAAACACATCATAGTAAAACCAAGACCTTCTCAGTTTCGCATCGAAGCTAAAAATTTTATTTTAAGTAGTTAATATTTCAAAATGTTATGGCAGTTTTAAGTACCAAAATAACATTGATCTTTACAAGAAAATTACATTTTTTGTTCAATTTGAAAGCTATTTGCACATATAAACAAATTTTTTTTTTTAACTTAATATACATAATGTAAGCTTTAATTTAACATATGTTTAAGAACGTATATTTTCTGAAACATTTTCAAAAGGTAAGTTGAAAATGTTCTACTTTTTATACATATGTTCCAAGTTTTGGACGCTCCAAATGAAAGGGTTATATATAATGTATTTAGAAACAAAAATTTGTGTTAATCTATACATCTTTCAAAAAGTCATAGCAATGTTAAAAATTTAAATAAAATAGCATTTTTTTAACTACAGCAGCTGTTTGCATGTCGGAGATAAGTCGTCGGGACAATTTTATTTTTTATTTATATTACGTAATATAAGTTTTAATTTAACATATGTTTAAAGGACGTAGTATTACCGGAACATTTTCAAATGTTAAGTTGAATAAGTTGATATTTGTAAAAAGTTTCTTATTTGAATCTCCCGCTGTGGGTAGATAAAGGGTCGGATTATCAAAAAATTTATATAAAATAAAAGGGGAATATCTTAAGTTTCGAAATAAAAAAAAATTTATTTTGATTGATTCATTTTTCAATAAGTTATGGCTATTTTTTTTTAAAAAAGTGATAAAATGTCAAAATTTGTTTGGAGATTTCCAACATTTATGGAGAACAAGGAAAAAATGTTCCTTTTTTAGGGTAATGTCTTCAACTAGATACGATTTGTGATATTTTGACGAATCGTTAAGCAAAATCGGCTCAGTGAGAGCTGAGAAAAAGTAGTGACAGACACACACAAAAAAAAAATATATATCATAGTAAAATTAATACCTTCACAGCTTCGCATCAAAGCTAAAATAATTGAAAATTGTATTATTAATGTGTATGAACAGAAATTAAACATCATCAACATATTCAGTATGATTATGTTTAATTGTAAAAACTAATTTTCTTGTAAAAACTTCATTAACATATCAATTAATATAATTTTGTAAATTACTATAAGTACGTGGGAATACACTTCATTATATTATACATTATAAGAATAAGAAATAATAACCAAATTTAAAACTATGATTGGGTAATTGGTCCAGTTACTTGTATTACTTGAAATGTTATTAAANACTATATTTGAAGAATAAGAAATAATAACCAAATTTAAAACTATGATTGGGTAATTGGTCCAGTTACTTGTATTACTTGAAATGTTATTAAATTTTGAGCTTTTTACATGCTTGAAATTTTACCAATTTTCATTTATAACAAATCTCGCCATTTACTCATTTTGGACGAGATATAACGTAAAAATCTTAGTCAATTTTCTATTTAAACTTTAAGTAGAATATAATTTTAGAAAAAAAACTTATTTAATAGGTTCAAGAAGTATTCTTATTTATTTAATTTTTTTAAATTATTGAAATATACAAAATAACTCAATCACTGTTTTTCTACGTTATACGTTATTATTATTGTAGAACAATTATAAATTAAGTACCATCATATTGGTACTTAATTAATACTACCACATATCTATGAGTACCACTAAGATTTAAAACAAAATCACCGACAATATAATTACAAAAATGTATAATAATAACAAAAAAAATCTGAAAAATGGTAATTTACAGTTTGGTTTTAATCATATGGTAGAGTATTTTAATGTACATATTTAATATAAATTAAACATACTGTACTATTCATATTATGATAAACCTCATCTTTAGCCCATTGAATACTCTTCAACCATAGTATATTACTCGTTATGAATACCAAAAGGTTATATCACAATGTTCACAAGAGATAGAAATAGGAATGAACTAAACATGACAATAAGGGAACATTGTCTACCTAAGTTACTGTTTTAAAATAGATCAGGGTTACTGTAGTTATATATAAATGTAAACATAAAAATTATGTACTAAGATATTAAACTTTTTATAAATGAGTAAAATACAATTATTTAACATACTAGATGTAACTTATTGTTCTATTAATAAAACTAATTACAACGTGTTATGTTACATTATTTGAATGATAGTTGCCGAGTGATTTTTTCATGCTTGAAATGATATCGTTAATTGATTACACTGTAACGTAGGTAGTATCATAGTTCACTCCCAATATTTATTTACAATGTTTGACTAACCTTATTTTTTAACACTGATTTAAAAATATAAATCATTCTTACTTTGTATTTTTTATACATTTAAATGTTTTAAATTTTTTTTCAATTTTTGTCTTCAAAAATGTAACTAAATTATTCAAATCTACAAAAAAAGATCTTAATTTTGAGACATTTACCTGATAAGATAGGAGTTATTTCATATATTGATAAATAATGAGATTCAATTTCTGGTCTTTTTGAGTACTTTTAAGCAAAAACAACTCAGTAGAAATTGAGATAATGTAGTGATAGACACACAAAAAAAATATTGTAGTAAAATTAATACCCCTTCATCTTTAAGCTAAAATGGTCTTATTGAGAATTTGTCTAAAGATGTAAAATTTATTTTAATTTTTATTGCGTGATATGAAAAAACTAAAACATAATTAAATTTTATCATTGTATCAAACATAAATTTCATAATTTTGAAAACAATCCATCAAGGCTGGTCATTAACGTCAATTAAGTTAGGTAAATCGTTACTTTTTTTTAACTTTTTTGGATTTAACTGTTAATTTAAATATATACTTATTTAATCTGAATAACGCATTAAATTTGAGTATATTACAATAATAAAAAAATAAAGTTTAAATTTTTCTAATTATTTTATTTATAAATAAGTTAAAAATATACATACGTTATCTTTTAATTTAACGTACTACTTTCAAAATTAAAATAACTTTACCCAATAATAAAAATAGGTTAACTAGTTCAGTCTTGTATATTAGTTAACGAATGGAGTAAAACAATTTTTCCATATTTAAATCCATGTAAATATTAAAATAATTAATATGAGATTAGATTCATTTAGATCTGGATCAAATTGTAAATTAGTATCTATTGGACGTATTCATTACTAAAAGTTATAATTAACTGTTAAAGTATTGATTTTATTGTCAGGCCTTTGGTATGAGTTGATCTTAATTATTTAACTATTAATAAAGTGGGCACTAAATTAAATTGGAATAATTATTATTTGAAAATGTAAGTTAAACAATTTCATTTTTATTAAGTCATACAGTTATGTATTTGAAAACTTTTGACGTTGACGTTATAATGTGTAATTTTTATAATAATAATAGTAATAATAATATAATTTGTTGATTATGAATTCATGAGAAGTGGTATCCTATTATTCATATGAATATTATATTACATGTATTTAGACGATCTATCCTATACAGAGTGTAGGCCACCAGACTGTTAGTTTTAATCAGAACACCAAACGATCTAGTCTAGTGGATGAATTATATTTTTATATACAAGTAAATAATCATATGTTCACTGTTCATTTTTAATGGTATTTTATTATAAAATGTCATAAATAAAAATCTATAAAATGTGAAATAATGATAATATTTTTTAATATTAATTCAAAATTATAATATAATGTATAATTATTTGTGTACATACACAAAAACGATGAAGAGATTCGATTATATTACTAGACTTCGGTTAATAATAAAATAAAATAATTTGTTTAATTGAATTATGTTTAATCATAACTGTGATAAATTATGATTCACTACTTAAGTCTTATTGTTGTTCTTGTTCAACCTCTTCAAAGTGTAAAGGTAACTACAATTTTTATTTTAAGTTTTAGAAAAAAAATTGTACAAGAATTTTTTTGTAAAAAGACAAAATGTTATAAATTATAATTGGTTTAATTCTTTTTCATTCGTTCCATAAAAATGTACGATTTATTAAAAATTTAAATTGAAAGACTTGGTGTAATAACCAAATAAGTATATTTTTAAACATTTTTAGGAAAGCAATTTTATGAAAAAATTTTGATTAAAAGTAATGGCAAATTATTTTCTTTAGATTAATTATCTCTACAAATAATAGTAATTTATAACTAGGTTTTGTACTGAATTACATAGAAAAATCATTTTTTATTAAAATTATACAGAAAAATTATTTTCTGAAAACGTTAGACTTATCTGGTTGTTACGTAAAGTCCTTCAATTGAGATAAATAAAACTATAAAATAATTATTTTTATTATAGAATAAAAATTATATTGATGCTTTTCAGGTTCAGAAATTATAATTATCATCCTGTTTCGTTTCGATTAGATGTAAATAAAGCATGTTAATTCTATAAATTATTAAAAAAATTAGTTTACTTCTATTATGTATTATTAAATTATTAAAACCATAAAAATTTTCTTGTCAAATTTCACTAATTGAATAAAATACATTACGATAAAATACATTTTTTATAATTAAACTAGTTTAAAAAAAATATTAAACTACTATTTTTTTTAATTTCTTACTTATGTAAAATAGAATTCTGTTTATCCCAAATAATATTTTCTAGTGGCTAATTAAATAATTAAATTATAAAGTATTTTATCCGCGGAAAAAAACCTTTCTAGTATTCTCAACATAAAAATTAACATTGAAGATATTATATTAACAACCTTAAAACAATAATTTTTAACATTTAACTTCTGAATTTATGAAACAGGAGTATTTTTTGTATAATAATTTATAGTCTTGGAATTAAAGAGTCTCTATTTAAATCTATATATATTATTGACTAAAATATTTTCTTATTTATCTTTTAATGAATATATCGTACTGTGAGTACTCTGTTGTAGTAACTTAAATAAAAACATTAATTCATGGAAGGATTTTATAATTTTTTGTTATTAATAAACAATATTATTTTGTATAACGTATTCAAATTTATAAATATGACATAATACACACGGTGTTACATTTCAACTTAATAAAAAAAAAAACCCAAAAATTGTTATTTGACAATTATGATAAAAATTTTTTAGCTTGGTTAATTTTAGAAACAAAATGCGTAATACATACAACTCATATATCATAGAAGTCCCCTATTTCTAAAAATATTTTTTGAGTTTAACGTTCGTCATTACTTTAAGTTTAAACAAAAATTATTTGGAATTGAAATATAAGTGTTTTTCTCACACATTAAATACTTTTTTGATTGATTTTTTAAAAATAAATTTTTAATGATATTTTTAGATAAAATTAAAAATTAGATGAATTAATTTAATAAAAAAGTTTTTCTTTATAATGTCATATCTTCTTACAGTTCGTAAAAAAAATAGGTTGGGCTGTAATTATTTTTTATATTATAAAACAATAGAATTTTTTACTATACATAATAGTTGTTAAATATTATATAACATTTTAGTACTGGTTAAAACTATACATGTATTTATACACCAAAAGTGAAAAGGTGGTTTTATTATAACATTTATAAACATAATGGAGAAATTATCAAATAAGTTAAATATTTTTGACAACTTCATTCAATAATAATTGTATTAATATAATAATTGGTTATCTTCCTCTATTAATATTTAAAATCTAATATAAATTATCATTTATTTAAGGAATAAATTAAAAATGCTATACGTATAAATCTTTTGTTGGCATTTTAAGCAGTTCAACTATATATTATAAAACTTCTTTAGTTTGAACTGCTTGTTTATTTATGTGTCCATAAGTTATCATCCGTCAATTCATTAGATATTTCTGCACCGATTAACAAACATAATCGATTTGAATAAGAATTTCCCCAATTATTACATTCATAAAATGTATTTTGCTATTATTATTTATTTTACATTCATAAACCGAAACGAAATTTGGAAAGAAAATTTGTAAAGGTTTCAATGTCAGTACAAATACACACATATTTACGTGGTAAAATAATTATCTATAATGAAAATCGAATGAGGAAAGTAAAAATGATTCGGTAATAATTCTGAAAATTATCTTTCCATATTATATATAGCATGTGCATAAACCCCAGTTACCTTTTACTTTCATTGCACATCCTGTTACAAACCTACCGGACCATTGTTTTTCAGAGCAATCAGGAAAATATGTTTTTATATTTGAATTTGTAATTAGATAAGTAGTCTCTTCATATAAAAATACTTTTACGTATACATTGATTATTTGACAAATATTGTGAAAATAATATCATAAACTTTAAGAGTTTGTATTTTTAATCAGATTTTAACATAGAAATGAATTAATTGTTTGGATGGCCTTATTCATTTTAATAACAAAATTGCACGCATCAATAATACAGTATTTCAAGTTAATATTGTAAATGAAGTGAATGTTACTATGATAAATATTACATTGTTTGGTTACTATTGAAATAAAAATGGATAAAAATGAAAAAAAGACCATAACTATACAACCTTCTGAATCTAAATTAATTTTTTTGAAATAGTTTAATGAACTTGAAGTTTTTAAATGACAGAGATGTCAATACCATAAATTTTAGATTTTTAGAACTTTTTCTATTTAATGTTTTTTTCTTTATAATGGATTAATAATAATATTATGTTAAAATATTTGTATAATGTAAATTCATATGTAAATTTAAAGGATATAAATGATAATTATACTTAATTGTTACAATAAAGTAAATTATATATCGTTTAATTAGTCATATATATTATCACTCCAGTTAATTCTTTTAAAGTTAAATTAAATTGCTCGAATATATTACTTATTTTCAAGTTCACATCTTAGTATAATACTTTTAGAACGTTGGCCTCTTTGGTGGGTTAATGCTTTGTTAAATTCATATCTATGTAAATCTTATTCGGTTTGAGATAATTAGTTATATTTAACATGCCAAAATACGTGTATCTAATTGTTTTTGCACTAAATACTAGTGAGCGTTGATAAAAACATATAATACCATTTTCTTTTTCAATGTCCAAGATAAAAATTGACAGATCAACAAATACGTAACGGTGGAATGAAGATTTATTAAGCACAACGATCTACTTATTAAAATTTTCGGGAACGTCTAAAAACATATAAAAAGAGTGTAGAAGCCTGTCATTGTTTTTTATTACTACCTTAAAAAACCCCTCTGACGTAACAAATTTGTTTCAGATTAACGAGACGAATCTAATTGATCATTTAACACCATTTGAATGGAGACATTTTGTTGGATCTAATGTAGGTAAGTTGCCTACCTAGCTTTAGTTCCGCATTGTTAGAATGGAAGGAAAATCTTAATAATATTTAAATATGTTGGGGTGACAGAGTGTGAAGAAAAAAGTGAAAATATGTTAAATAGTCGTTAAAGTTGTTACAAAACTTCCTCGGTGACTAGAGGTGGGGGAGAAAATCTGATTAAACGGATACTGTGAGTTATAATATGTTGAACGTTATGGTCCCGTAGGTTTCTGATGAGGTCAATAACATACGGGTAAATCGTAATATTACAATGCTCTCGTCAATAATGAAATTAAAATTTTGAAATAAAATCCAATGTTTTGTTTTAGGCAAAATATTACGTTTAAATAAAAATACTTTGTTTGAAAACGATTTTGATTTTTAGACGATTTGTTTTAAATTATACCTTGTATTTTTTAGAACAGAATTTTGGGGTAACTTATTTAAATCTAAATCAATTAACTGGAGGACAAGTTAATCTTACATTTGATCGCTTAGATCAGAATTTTCGGCTTGATTTGCGAAAAAACCAAGGTCTGCTTGATGAAAAATTTGTAGTACTGAAAAGAGTCGCCGGAAAGTCAGAAATTATAGATAATCCATGGAATGACACTGACTGTTATTATCACAGTCTTTCACCTCACGTGGCTGCCCTTGACGTTTGCAACGGAATAGTAACTTATTTAAATTGCACGCTAATCCTTCTTTTTTAATACTCTTATGTTTTTTTCAGAGGGGTATCATTAAGTCTGACGGGGACGAGTATTACGCCATTAGCCCGTTACCGGAACGATTTCACGATCCAAATGAAACACCACACGTAATTGTTCAAATTAAAAACGCGGCCAACCTGAAAAATTCACTTGGTAAATTTATGACAAAAAAGAAAATTGATCAGACAGCATCTGTAAGTCGTAGTAAAAGAGATATTTGGTCATCTAGAGAACTGAATTTAGAGATAGCTATTTTTGTGGATCAAGACCTTTATAGGTTAATGGCCGTGAGTTTCGAATCAAATACTGAAAAAGAAGTCATTAGATTTGTTTTGGCCATGATAAATGCTGTGAGTATGTAAAAATAGTTTTCTTAAATTATTGTGCTTAAAAAGTGCATAGCTCAAACTATATAAGTGTACTTATATAGTTTAAATATGTACTATTGTATTTGTTTTTCAAATATAAACCAATTCATTTATAAATGTATAAAGAGTATGTAATGTCCAAAACAAACTAAATTTTTATTATATTTATTTAAATACAATAAATTTAGGTTGATTTGCTCTATCACGATCCTTCACTTGGTCGACAAATAAACTTTATCTTAAAAAGATTAGAGATATTGCACACAGATCCGGAAGGCTTAAACAGATCTAATGATATAGATAGGTTTTTGAGTGATTTTTGTAAATGGCAGCAAGTAGAAAACCCACCGCTAGACTCAGATCCGTTACATTGGGATCATGCCGTTATTTTAACCGGTCTTGACTTATTTGTTTCTGGAAAAAATGGAAAAATAAGTAATCAAGTTGTAGGTAAGCGAAAAAATAATAAACATAATTAGCTACTTTTATAAATAACGTTATATAACATAATTATATTAACAATATCTTAAATTTTAACACTTTCAACATCACTAATAAATAATTTAAGGGAAGTTTTGAAAAAAGAAATGGTATTAAAGAATTTTAATTCAAAAAAATAAGGACGTATACAGAGTAAACTTATTTTTTAATTCGGGAAAAAATTATTAAAGAGATATATTATTTATCTTTAAATAATCGAAATGGTATGCATGTTTCATTTTGTTTTTATGCTAGTTATAAACTTTTTTCTATAGTAAAATTATGAAGTATAATTTCAAGAAATATACTAATTATTTGTAAATACTATAAAGTTTAAATTTTGCTCTTTTTAAGAGTTGAAAAACATGTTAAGTGAATTTGATATAAACAATATACAACTAAAAAAGTAAAAATTTACTGTTGTTCATTGTGTATATTTTTATTTATTTCAGGTTTAGCACCAGTAGCAGGAATGTGCACCAAAACTAGTAGCTGTACCGTAAACGAGGGTCGCCACTTTGAGAGTGTCTATGTAGTAGCACATGAAATTGGTCATAAGTAATATTTAAAAAACAAAAAATTATTACTTAGTTGATCATTGTAGTTCATTTTTTCTAAGTACTTAACATCTGTAACGTTGTACTGCTTGAAAGTGTACACTAATAAATTCAAAATTTTATTGCATAGCATAATTATAAATTATACTTGACTATATATTTACTGATATGCATTATTTAAGACAAGTATCATAAACAGATTGTAATATTTAGTTTAGGGATGCGACATGATGGTGCAGCATCTGATAATAACTGTGATTCAACAAGCTTTATAATGTCTCCAACTTTAGGAAGTGGTAAAATAACTTGGTCAACGTGCAGTCATGATTATTTAGAAAAATTTTTACAGTCAGTAGAATTATTATTAGAATAAAATATTACTTAAAACTAATATATTAATTAAAATTTTTGGATCATTTAAACACTTCTTAAACATTTAACAATTATAAAAATTTTTAAATTAAATTTCAACATAATTAATTCATGGTATAATTAAATTCTAAGTTAGTTTCCTCAAAAATATTGTTTTTTTAAGGAGCTCACAAGCAGTATGCTTGTTTGACGGAGGTGACTCATCAGATTATTTGGATCATAAGCAACAGGGTAGATTACCTGGTGAAAGATTTGATTCACGTGAACAATGTATGCTCAAATATGGATGGGGAAGCACACACGCCTCCAGTCAAGATTTGGGAGAAATTTGTCGAGATCTGCACTGTCAACGCGATCGATATACATGGACTTCACACCCAGCGCTCGAAGGCTCACTTTGTGGTTCAAATAAAGTTAGTATCTCGTAATTAAGTTTTTATTGTAGATACATTACAACTATTAAGCTATAAAACTATTGCAATCCATTTAAATGGTCTTTAAAACTTATTGAATATATTTTATGTTTATTATATTCATAAAAAAGTATTGATATATTTTCATTTATCAGTGTATTTTAAAAATTTAATTTAATTTATTGAAAAATATTTATTTTATAAAAGTGGTGTCGTAGTGGTCGATGTGTTAGCAAAGGATTATCGGCCTTACAAGCTGGCTTTGTTCCACATCAAAGTGTTGATGGAGGATGGAGTGAATGGACGCCCTATTCAGATTGCGCTTCATCTTGTTTGCTTGGAGATAAAAATGATCTGAATAGTGGTAGTACTGGTATAATGAGTTCAATTAGGCGGTGTAATAATCCGAGGTAGGTTGGATATTTATTGAATTTATTTAATTTAAATTATTAAAATAATAAACATTTTTGATTAAGTTAACAAAAACTACTAATACGTGATTTGAAGCAATCATTTTTACGTAAGTGATTTATTGGTTTACTATTAAAAAAAGTTGATTTGTTTCGGGTGAAAGTACCTTCTATTATCAGCACTCCACCTATAGCCAAAAATATGTTTTTTTATAGTAATTAACCAACTAGATTATTGTAAAATACTGAAAAAGTAAGTCACATTTTAGCTTGTATGTGTAGCTGAGAAGGTATTGGTTTTATAAAAGTGTATTTTTTTATGTTTGTCCATGAAAATACTCAGCTGTTACTGGACTTTTAATGAATCTTACGCCAAAATAACATGACTTATCTAATTGAATCTATTGTGCTCGAAAATTGGAAAAAACTATCAAATTTAGGAATTTAGAAAAATATCTTAAAATTGCAATACCTTAAAAATAACAATATCCAAACATTTTTTCTACTTTTAAAATTGCTAAAACTATTTTTAAAATTTAATATAACCTAATAAAATTTTAATAAAGTAAACTAGAGACAATAAGCTTTTTTTGATATGTTTTTTGAAAAAATTCTATGAAAAACTTAATTATATAAAAGAGTTTAAGGAAATTTAACAACTTTCATTTCTATTTGATTTTTAAAAATATTTTTTAGATAGCCTAAAAATGTTTAACCTATATCAAATTACAGCTTTTGAAATATACTAAAATATTAAAAAATATATGTTACGGTGGTTTTACTATGAAAAATCGATCAGTAAATTTAAATTAATTTTAACACTTTCAACATCACTAATAATTAATTTAAGGGAAGTTTTGAAAAGAGAAGTTTTCGATTTTATCAAAAACATAAAAAAATATTTTATTTTAAATTTAAGCAAATAGTATACTAGTATTTAATACTTTAGTAAAATTTAAAAACATAGAAATTATAAATATATAAATTATTGTGAAGTTTAACAGACTTGCATCGAAGTGTTTTTTATGATAGTGATGTTAATCATAGTCAGATATTATCTATACCTATATCAACTATGCCACGACCTTACTGAGCTGTACACTTATTTTTACCGGTCAAAGAATATAGAATTAATGGTACAAATAATTTATAAAGTTTAATTAATAATATAGATATAAGTTATAATAAGACCCGTAAAGCGTTGAAAGCCAAGGAGTACAGGCGCAATGCTTCTGAATTGAAACGTGCGCACAAACGCGTAGTCGAGCGTATACTAACGGGGATCGATTCGGGAGCAGTAATGCCCATGTGTTGACGAGATGGTCCAATACTGGGCACCTATAATCGAAATTGCCCCAGTCCACTCCTTTGTCGCACTCAATAAGATCAGATAGACTCGTACGCGCATTATGTTTGACCCTGTTTCGCCTAGGGATATCGTTAAATCCTTCCCCTGGTAAATACAAGTCCGGGCCCAGATGGGTTTAAGGCCCGGCTATGGAGATCATTGCCCATACATCCAATTGCAGGTATATTCAACTTGCTGATCGCCACGGGAACGCTCCCGGACATTTTTGTTAGGCCCCGTACCACTTTTGTCCCCAAAAAGGGGGATGTCGGATGCCCGGGTAAATATTGACCGATCTCGATCGCATTGATAGCCCTGCGGCATTTCCATAGGATTCTTGCCAGAAGACTTGAAGGTCTATCCGTAATCGATGACAGGCAGTGGGCGGAAAATCTCTTCCTCCTCGATTCGTTACTGACGAGTTCCCGTTCGTCTTGCCAGGGACTGTGTCTTGCATCTTTGGACTTGTCTAAGGCGTTCGATTCGGTATCCCACGGTTCGATCTCCGCGGTGATGCGTGGCGACCCCCGCTTTATCGAATGTATCGACTTCGTGTACAAGTAGAGTAAGACTTTCATTCAAGTAGGCAGGGAGTTTCCCGATCCTTGAGGACAGCGAATGGCATTAGGCAAGGCGATCCTTTATCGCCGCTTTTATTTAACCTGGTGATAGATTTCGGTCTACGAGCAATCCCAGATGCGGTTGGCTATATGCTGGGCAACGAGCGAGTGAATGCTCTAGTGTTCGCAGACGATGTAATTCTTGTGTCGGAAACGGCCCGAAGGTTGCAATTGTCCTGCGAAAAGTTCACCTTTCGAATAGCATTAGCCGGTTTGAAGCTTAACCCAACAAAGTCTGCTACTCTCACCTTCGTTCCTTCGGGACGTGATCGCAAACTAAAAGTTCCCGCCACGGCGTACTCTCTCGAGGGCTCGTCGCTTGTGGTGACTTAGGTTGGCGAGTTCTGGAAGTATCTTGGCATAGAGTTTCAGGGAAATTCCCTTTATAGGCTCAAGTGCGCGTCTCTTGTCAGTGCTTTGGAGGCGGTTTCAACCCTATGACGCCATAAATGAGATTTGCAATCGCACGGGACTACGTGATTCCGAAGTTCGTCCACGGACTGACGTTCACGAAGCTCCTCGATTGTAAGTTAAGACAACTAAGTCACGAGACCCAACCCGATAGGTTGACTAAAATCGAAAATTCACACGTTCCGGCGGTGCGTGAAGTATTCCGTCTCTTCGGAACGAGTGTGGTAGCAACCTTCCGGCGCTGCGTGGATAGGGTCGCAGCGATGATTAGTCCCCAAGAACTCCTCAACAGTTCAGTGGACGGTGCTGATCTCAAGTTCTGTCCTGGTAACTAAAATCGACGGCATACATGCGCAGACCGGATGGTATAACCGGCCGTGACTTCAAGCAGTATGCTAAGATTAGGATCAACGCCCTGCCTAACCGCAAGCGTGTTGGACAGGGGCGCAACATACCGGTGTCATGCCGTGGATGTGCTGCGTCCTATGAGACTCTTGCGCACATAGTTCAAGTGTGCCCCAGGACTTATGGTTGGAGGATTCTTTGACACGACCATTTCGTGAAGCGCATAGCTGGAGCACTTACTGATAGAGGGCTTCAAGTAGAACGTGAGCACCTCTACGCGTTAAGGAATGATAATCTCAAGCCGGACCTCGTTGTCCCAATTGACGACGAGACAAGAGGCAGGAGATCTGTTATCCTGGATGTACAGATTGTTTCTGCCACCAACACCAAAGACTGGCACAAAGAGAAAGTACGAAAGTACGCCAGCCACCAGGATTTAAAGTCCGAAATCATGGCAAGACACCAATCGACTGCAATACATACAGTCGCCGCGACCATTACATGGCGAGGGGTATGGCTACCTAGTTCACTTGAGAGCCTCAAAACTCTCGGACTAAGCCGTAACCTCTTGGGTGGACTTGTAAAGTCAGTCCTCCGCGGTACTCTGCTGAATTGGCATTCGTTCAATAGGACGACCAGGGTGTTTGGGTGGGTTGGAGTCGGATGAATACCGTCCCCCCCCACAACACGGGAGCCTCCTCGTCACCCAGACTAGGGTCCATTAGACCCAAGCCACAATCCCTTTGCCTCTTTCCATCTTCCTGCTTGCCTGGGTCTAGGCTATTTAATGATTTGTAGCCTCGGCCTATCTCCCTCATCTACCTGGGTTCCACGGGGTAGAAGTCGCTCCATCCAAGGCGACCCGCGTAACTATGAGGTACGTGGGTCGTTGGGGTGACTTTATGATAATAGCTATAGACGATAATTCTACACAAGTACTAAAATATTTTCTGCTTTAAATATAAAGAAATTATCTTATTATTAAGAACATCAAAGACTCTTATTCGATGGAAACTGGTTCTTGATGCTATGAATAAACTAAATAAGAATGCATTCATTTTTTTTTGTTGTATTTTATTATGCTTATGATACTTTTATAACAGATTATGATCTAACTTAATAAGTATTAATGATTGTAAGGCAATATCAAAATATAGTATTATTTTATTCTACACTTAAAAAAAAAATTCAAATAATTATTGACTTCAAATTTATTGTTTTATGATACAAAAATTTTTGATAATTAGTAATGTATAAATATTGTTTTTAAAATCATTTTTATTTGTTAATGTTTTTCAGGCCAGAAAATGGAGGAAAATTATGTTCTGGTGAAGATCAGAAGTATAAATCATGTTATACAGAGCAAGTAAATAATGATACATTATGATGTATTTTATCTAAAATTATATATCTATAAAAATTAATAATAAAACAATGTTTTTTAAGTGTGCTAATGCGCCTCAATTAACCATAAAAGATTTTTCTAATGAAGTATGCCTAAGAGCTAAAGAATATGATACGGAATTAATTGGTACTGGTTATCAAAAAATCAGTTCTGATCGTAAGTATACAATAACTCAGTTATAAATATACAATAAATATTTTTGTTATTTCAAAACAAAAAACGTTAAAAAAATTATTTTTAGTAAAAATAAAAATGAGTAGATTTGGAAGTGATTAGAGTCTTCTAATACTCTTCTAAGTCTACATAAGTAATTTTTTTACAAGTAAATATATACATATTTACATTTATCATATTATAAATAAATAAAAAAATTCTAAATACGCCCCTAAATTCAATTAATCATATCGTACGTATTTAAACTCATTACATTTATTTTAGCGAAAGATGCGTGTACTGTTTGGTGCCATAAACACAAAGGTGGCATAAAAAGTCGAGGATGGTCATTTCCTGATGGCACCACTTGCCAAATAAGAAAAAATAATGGATTAAGCTATTGTGTTGGAGGGTATTGTAAAGTAAATAAATCAGGTCACATTATCTTTTTTAACGTACTAAATTCTACATTTTAAATGTTGCTATAGGAGTTTATATGTGAAAAATTGTCTACGTCTGATTCACTTTATATAGAATCAGCTAAAGCTTGTATAATAGATGAACCACGAAAATATTTAAGATCGCCATCTCCACCACTGCCACTTCTTCCAGAAATTTCTGAAGTAATAGAATGGACTTGGCAATCTATATCTGTGTGTCATTACAGCTGTATGACACCAGGAATGGGTCTTAAATTAGTCGAAGGAAAAATTTGTAAAAATTGTGAACCAGTTATAAGCATTAAAATATGCAGACCACAAAAAGAAGTAAGCTAATTTTAAAGTATAGAATAAGTATACATTTTTGTTCACGAATGATTATGTATATACCTTTTGACACAATTATAATTCTTTAACTAAAAGAGAGTTAATTAGTTAGTCTTAAATTTATGAAAAATTATATTCTTTATACTGTTAATATTAATAATTTAGAACGAATAAATAGAATTCAGTCATAGTCTATATTTCTTTTATTTTCAGCAATGTAAAACGGGCTTAAAAAATACAGCTGATTATGCCACATCTGTATGCTCAAAATATGGACAAAAGGTACAACGTTTATCAGGTTTGGGTATGCAGTTATCATCAGTTTCAGGTAATTTTTGTTTGATTAATAAACTATTATTCTATTACTTTTTAAAAAATATTAATTTTAATTTCAAAATACATGTATATTGTGTTTTTATTTAAGTGAAATGTGGCAAAAAAAAATAATATTAAGTAAAGGAGTTAATTAATATCGAGGCAACATTTTTTACTTCATTCAACCGAATTCAATTTTATTTTGTAGACGATCTGGATAGACCCTGTAAACTAGCGTGTCAAGACCAAGTAGTACCACATAGATTTTACATTGTTAATGGCGAAACAGGTTGGTTTCCTTTTGGCACTGATTGTTCAAGAGGCGATACTGATCGAAAAGCATTTTGTTTAGGGGGAAAATGTTTGGTAAATATATACGTTTGTAACTCTTTTTTTTTAATATATAAATTATATTTATATATTTACATTAAAAATTTATGTTATATTTATAGAATATGATGATAGTAATAATATTTTCTACATTTTGTTTGAATAGGAATTTGGTTTAGATAATATGCCAATGTCAACTGATGCATTAACAATACATAGCAATTTTAGTTTAAATAATCGCATTAAACGGGGCCTTACCTACTTAAAAAATATTCCTAAACCAGATCAAAAGACGTTAGAACAATTGTTGAATTTAAAAAACAGTAAATATCAACTTATTTTTTTTTTTATTATATTTTATAAAAAAAAATATATAAGATTTTAACAAAGTCAATTTATTTTTTAGTCGAAAGGTTTTCAATAAATGATTATGATATAAAGAAAGTAGACGTCGACAATCCTATAGATTTTCAAATTGTTTGAAAATTAAAACGTTGTACATATAATTTGAAAAATATAATCGTAATCAAATAACTAGTAAATGTAAAGTGTAAATAAATTTAATTTACGTTTTTCTATTGAGATTATTTATGTAAATTAAATAATAAGTATGATTTTTTGAGATCAATACTAAGTCCTTGAACTTAATTAATAAAGTTGTTTAGGAAAGAAAAATACTTAATGTATACATTATAAAAAGAAAAATGTTTATATTTAAAAACTATGTACATAATTTAAAATAAATGTTTAAATAGAATTTCAAAATTTAACAATAATACATTTTTTTTATAATATAGTAATAATTGATAGTTAAACAAATTTTTAAAAATAATTAAATACAATAAAATATTAAAAAATATTGGTGGCAAGACAATTATATTAAGTTTAATAACATTTATAAAATTTGAACAACACTAAAATAATATATAAATTCATTTAAGTTTAGATAAATTTATGGACATAATTTAGAAAAATACGAGTAAATTATCTATTTATCATCAATGAACATTAATATTAATAAAAACAAAAAAATACTTAAAAATGTAATTGTATTGTTAGAACATAGAGATATTTGAAAAATTTTAGAAATGTATAGATTTTAAACTTAACTGTTAAAAAAAATCATGATTATTTTAATATCAGTTGTAGAATTAGAGTGTTTTAATATATTTATAATTTTTATGTTATGTTTGTATAATAAATAGCTAGGAAAAATTTTGTGGGTACTACGTTTTCTGTTAACTGATGGTAGAAGATGCGGTAAGAAAATTTTAGTCTTATTTCTGACCTAATTATATTATTATTCTTACTGCTTCACAGAGAATTTAATTGGTAAGGAGTTGTAATCCATATTTTGTGTGCATTATTGAGTTTAAGTAAGAATAAAAATGTGTGAAAGTTGGAAATATTATAAACAATAAAATATTTAATACCTTGTTAGAATGTATAAATTACATTGTAATCACAGATTTTATTTCTTCTTAAAATCCTTATTAATTTTATCTCCTTCGAAATTTTCATCAGTTTTGAACTCCTTGTAATATTTCTATAAGTATGTAATAAAAGATCTTAATTTTTTTTATTATACAATTGAACTTTTTAACATACATTAAATAAAATTTAGAATTATCAATTTCAAAAAAAATAATAAAACTCGAGGATCACTGAGAAATACTAATTTTATATTATTATAAATATTACTAGTTAGTAATATTAGCAATTCACGTAAATTTTTTTTATAAACCGTACAAATATAAGGTTAAAGATTACCTATTTAACTAACCAATAAACCTGAAAATATCAAAATTTTAGTAATTTAATATAGGTTGTAATTAGAAAAGAATTATGAAATTATAATATGTTAAGCGTACATTTTTTTTAAGTATTCGATTAAAAATATGATACCTTAATTATTATTTATTGAATTTTCAAATCAATATTCTTCATTTGTTTTTGTTTGTTTTAACTTTTTTTTTTTTGAAAGAGTATTCCATTCGGTACTGAATATAATTTTAAAATAGAATTAATGATACGCCATTTATTATTTTTAAATTAATAATAATAAAAAAAAAAAAATGTTTAATTATAATAAACTTATTGCTTATTTTTTTGGTTGATCTACTTTTTTAAAAACAATTTATGAAGAAGTTTCACATTATTTAAACATGGCTCACCCTGAGTTTTTGAATATTTAATAATAATAATAATAATAATAATTAACATTATCATCATATAAATAATTATTTAGTTTATAAATTAAAAAAAAAAAAAATCAAAATTACCCTTTCTTCATTATCTGGTACTCTAGACAACAAGTCCAATAATTCATTATTCGGTATAACGTTAGGCCGGAGTATTTTTCTTGTAAATTTGTTTAAGCCCCAAACCATTATAATATACCGAATTGGAATATAATATAAGACGATAGCAACGGCCATCAAAAGTATAATAGATAAGTATGATAAAAATGGAACTGAAAAATTTAAAAGGCTGAAAAAGTATAATATTTTTATAGTATGTAAAAAAATTGATGAATAATGGTTTTATATACTTTATCACTTTTTCTCCGAGGGAGGCTATATCACCGATGGTATTTTGAACTAATTGGGTCACTTCTTGTACAGCTACTACTCTTTCTTTTAATGTCTTCTTTTCATCCTAGAAAAAGTTAAAAATTATATTACTTGATTTTATTGTATTCACTGATTATTTACTTTAGATTTGTCGTCATCTTGATCATGATCGTCATCTAGGTCATCATCGTCAGTCTGTTGTTCATCATCGTCCTCAAAACTTTTATTTATATTCCATACGTATGTAAAGTAAAATTTTAAGAATATCAGTATTAGAACAATAGGAGCCATGTATAGTTCAAAAAATTGACAAATTATGACAAATACAATCAAAAATATTATTGTATGTAAAGGACATTCCCATTCTGCCCAGTATCTAAGAAAATTGTCAATAAAAAAAAAATTGATTAAAAGTTAATATATATAGTACACATTGTTAATGAGTATTTTTAAAACTGGTATTGAATAAAAGGAATACTTACTCAAAGAATCTTCCAATATCGATCAGCCACATAACTATTTCCTTTAGTCGCATAACATTATTTATCAAAGTTTGTGTTTTGAATTTTATTTCTTGGTGCATATATTTTTCTTCTTTTGGATTTAAAGTTCTAATTACTGCACGGATCTATGTAAAAAATATTGTGCACAGGTATCGTAAAAAATATAAATTATAAATTTATAGTTAATAAAAAAAATTCAAAATAGTTTGGTGGGCACAATAGGACGAGTAATAATCCTTTACAAACGAAAATACTTCTTCTCTTAATGGATAAATATTTAAATAATTCAATAATATTTAACGATTAAATATATTTTGAAAACTTACCGGATTCCATATAAGATGCATTTCTAATAGAATTCTCGGATTGTTTCCTTTTGCTCGAAATCTTAGCTTTTTATCTTTCAATGAATACCACTTTTGAACTCCATTTTTGATAGATAATAATGGAATAGCAACTTTGCCTAAGAACTCTACTTTATAATCTGGATCTTCATCAAATACAGTCACTTCAAGCACAGAGTTAATGTCTCTCACATTACTAGGTTTATAATATTTTATTAATTAATATTTTTATTTCTTAATTTACATTATAAATATAAAATAATGGCTTAATAATACCAACTAATTATACATCTAAATTAAAATTGATAAAATTAAGATAAATTATTCGTAGTATTAAATTTTGTCGAGTTTATTCATAAGCCACAAATAAAATATACATTCATAACAGTAAATGTAATTTCATAAGCGTTGTAGCTTATTTTTTTTTATTTAAGCATAATTTATTTACATTAGATGGAAATTGTCTACAATAAAATTTATTTAAATTAATTTGGAGCTTAATGGAGAAAATACATTTTGAAGATTCTTTCGTTACTATAAAGTTATATAATATTGCGTGCAAAAATAAAATGTAGTTTATTTTGGATAAATTATAAATAAAACGAAGTTTTAATTATTTATTTGTAAAAACTCCAATTTTAAAGAAATGTGGTTTAAATACTAACAAAATAAATATTTTATCCCAATTTGGTGATAGAGTTTTGTATTCAGTATGAGTCTGTAGCCGAGTATTTACTAGTTCCAAGACGCAGAAAGGATCTGATTTACCACACAAGTCTGCCGAAGTTAATCCTTGAGCTTTGTACACTTGAATAGTAAGCATACCAATGTCTCGTAGATCACAAAAAGTCTTAAATGTGGAGTATTTCTGTTTTATATGATCTTGTTCGGTGATTTTCTTTTCAGTGGGATCCGATATCATTTCGATATTTGAAGTACCACTAATAGTTAGTAATAAATACAATAAACTTGTAGACTCATAGCCTTCGATATCCAATTTGTGTTTAATTTTATGAGTCCTTTCCCGTTCTAGTTTACTCAAATCAATGATTGCACTGTAGGAACACATTGAAAGATTTAAAATCAAATTTTAAAAAAGTGGCACACAAACGCAATGCCATAATTATCGAAAGAAATTAGTAATATTTATACTGGGTCTACTCGAATAAGAGGTACCCTACAGTATAATTTGGATTAAATGATTTTTTAGAAAAAAATAGTTTTTTTTTCTAACAAAAATCCAATATAGTTTTTAGAAGTAAAATATTTTGAATTTTACTAGATTTAATTGAAAATTAGGGCATACACTCATGGATAAATTTTATGATAATTTTTTTAAACTTAAATGACTTTTATTAGAAAAATTAAAAAACAAAGTAACCAAGGAAAAAGAATTAGGCATTCATTTAAAAATCATTATTTCAAAAATAATCAAAAAATATTATCTCTCGTGTTGAAAATAGAAAGTTTTATTACTTGTTGAATTTTCATATGGTTTCGTAAATAAAAAATATAAATTTTATTTCTTTTTTTTTACAATATTGTTATATTTTTAAAAATTGGAGAACTATTGCTCATATTAGGTAATTCTTGAGAAATAATTTTTTTTAAGTATAAGAAAAAAACTAAAATTTTATATAATTGTAGAAGAAGTATGTTTTGTAAAACATGATAAAAAATTAAAAAAAAAACAAATTTTATTTTAAAATTATTCAAAACTACAATATAAAAACTAATTATAATTTGGGTTATTTTTATGTAGTGATACTAAAAAAAGGATAATTGAAGTTAAGAAATTTTAGTGATACAAATAAAAAAACACATTATTGTAAGATTAATACGTTCTCAGATTTGTACTGAAGTTAAAATAAATGAGAAAATTATAAAGATGTTATAGAATCTTTAGCCCTTTATTGAGCGCGGTTCTTTTTGGACCCTAAGTAGTCGCGGTGGTCTTGTAGATCAATGTTATGTACTTACTACTTTGGATGCGGCGATCTCACGGATCAAAAAATGCACTACGGCCCCTGAGGCTTTAGATGACTAAAGCACATTAAATCCCTACTCCTGGAAATTGAAGAAGGTAACGAGGAGGGGAGACTCATGGCTTTAGCCGTTTCTATTTGTAAAGGCTAACTTACCTTTCGCGATCTCTCAGATCGGCCGCGACTAAGAAAGGGTTAAATGTGTATTCTGCACAGTATACTGTAATTTTCATACCTTGCAACGATATCCTCACGGGATCGTTCTTTGGCACAAACATTGATTTCTAGTTCTTGAGTTTGGTCATCGAATAAATGCAAGTCAAATTGTTCTAGCCAAGTGGGCGTAGGCAAACGACTACTTGATTTGCTTTTATACTTTTCACCGCCTAATCTGTTTAATATGCGTTGAGTAATATATACCATTATAAAGTCTATTTACTTAAATAATGTTATATTTTACCTAAATCGAACATAAGGATCGCATAATCCACTATTCATTTTGATATTCTTTATTTTTATTAAGACAATTGTAACTACAGAATTCCAAACTTGACATTTGTACTTTTTACTATTTTCTGAAATTTTAGCCGATTTGAGCAAACTCTGTATAATAGATATTTAATTAATTAATTTTTTTTTTGTTAATTATCAAAAATAATAATTAAATACTTATATTCATTTTAATTATGAAATTTTAATACATTTTGTAATTTAATTTTTTTTTAAATATTGTTGAAAGTAACTATACTTATTATTATTATATAATTTAGCATTTAATAAGTCACATACTTGTTCTCGTTCTTCTCTAGATTGCGAAGAAAGAGTTACGTCGATGCAAATCTCTCCTAAATACTCAGTATTCTGAGAATCTCTTAATTGAAGACAAAGCTCATGTTGTCTGTAAAAAATGCGTAGTTATTAACGCATAAAAAATTTGAAATACTGCTTGAAAATTGTTTATATAAACGATATTTTAGATAAAATACATAATCAAAATCAAAATAAAAAATTTACATCAATATGCTTACAGATATGCATATTAAGTTTTTTACTGTACTGTAAGTTTAATTAGGGTATTCATTTTAGGTATTAAAACTTACTTGCCCAATTCTAAAGATGACAACACAACTTTAACAGCACCCATAAAATCATCCTGAAGCCCCCAATCATAATCAAATACCTAAATTTTATTCATATTAATTAAAGTATTGTTACATAAAATAATTAATTAATTATTATTTAACTAGACACTTCAACTTAGTCTTTGTAACTTAAACAGTATCGTAATAAATTAAAAAGGTCCTGGCATTTTTTAAATGACTTACTCAAAATTATTTGGAATAAACCTTTTTTTATTTCTCTTCAAAATGTAAATATGTAAAATTGAAAGTAACATTAAAAATTAAAAAATGTTTGGTTCAAATTGGGTTTATAGCAAAGATAATTTTATTGTTGGTTACACTGTTCGTCTTTTTTTAATTTATATTAAAAGAAAACCAATAATTATTCACCAAAAAAATTAGTTTTAGTTTTTATTGATATGAATAAGTAGTAAAAGTGGAAATAATTTTAAAGTTTTTAATTTAATTAGTAAAATTAGATATATAGGTAAGGTAAGTATAAGTAAGGATACAGGTAAATTGTTACAAACAATAAGAACAATTGAAACTTGTTTCCTTACTTACTCAACAACCTATATATTTTGTATATTTTAAAATATTTCATGATTGTTAAATTGGTCGAGATTTTTAGAAGAAAAAAAATTATAACAATAATTTTACCTTTATATAGACAGGTTCAAACGGATTATCTAGGAGATATGTAAATGTTTCATCCCATGACGGGTTCAGACTTTTGTAAACAATTTTTGACTTATAAATTAACCTTCCATTAGCTTTAAACTTAACATAGGGATCACTAAGACCTAATTAATGAAAATAAATTAAAATATTACTAATTAAAATTATTTATTTTAAAACAAGTACCGTTTTTATCACGTGCAATAAGATCTTTTCCTTTTTTTAAATGAATTTTAAGTTGAAAATATTCATGCTTTTTAAGTAATTCTTCGTTCTGGTATGGATTGTCTCCTTCCTTTTAACATAATAAAACATAGTTACAGTATAGGTTACTTTTACATTTAAATTCACACCAAATACTTGTTTTCAAAATTAAAAAATATTAACTTTCAATCTAGAATTAAGTTAACTGTTAGTCAAATAGAGTTAAAATTATTATATTTTACCGGAGTGGTTATTTCACACTGTTCAGATCGTATAGAATTTTGTCTTCGTAATCGAAGCTGAGTATCACGTGAGACGACTTTTTGAAACCAATTATGAGACAATCCAAACTCTAAAAATGTGTTATAATTAAAAAACAAATGATGATGTTTAAATAAAATTTTAATTAAGTAAAATAATTAAAAGAGCAATTTTAAAAAATTTTAATTCTTTATAAATTTTAGTTATCGTTTTATAGGTAAGATTAGCCAAAATATTAACTTATAAAATATAAAACTTAAAAGTTATTAAAATAACTGGAAAATAAACCAATTTGGTATAACAAACTGCTAATACATTAATTTATTCTAAATAATTGTTTAACGTGTAATATAAATTGAAATGAAAAGTATTAGAAGGTTACTCATTCATAGTTTTTATTCAATAAATAATATATCACATAGATGTGACTATAAAAATAAAGGTAATTGTTTAAAGGAAATTTCATTATGTCTGCTAGTCCCTAATAAATGAAAATTAGAATATTACACTTTGTTTATGTAGATATCTTAATAGATTTAGTCTATTTAAATTGATTAAATAATATAATAAATTATATTATAATAGATTTAATTGACTAACCTATGAAAAATATTATAATTGTTATAACATACATCAAAACTAATAAGCAGCGAAAGGAACTATAGTTTTTTGTTGTTTCGCGTTAAAGTTTGGGTTGAGTAAAAAATTATTTAACATAACGGTTCAGCTCGAATTCATTTCACATTTAAAATATAATTTTCAGTTCTTGAAAATGAATGAATATAAAAATTAATTTAATAGCCATGAAGCATTTTCAAGATTTTGTCTTGTAGAGGATATACAATAGACATTTTTTTACTACCTCTTCCAAAACTGCACGATATATTTATTTTCATAATTTGGGGAGTTCTATCCACAATGTATATACTCATGAGAACACGTATGTCTTAGAAATTATACTTGGAAAGTTCTTAAGCGTAAGATGAAAAGGGGACAAAACGCTCACAAAAATGTAGAAAAATCATTTGTATGAATACTTAAAAATATTTTAAAAAAAAAAGGAGAAAATTTCATTAACTTCTATAACGCTATAAAACCTGTTCCATACTGGCAAGATGGAAGAAAGTCACTAAAACAAATATAATTACAAAATTAAAGAACTATTTTTTTTCCTGCGTAAAAAGTTTAATAGAACGATACAGGTTCATTGTATAAACCATTAAACCTTAAAATTTCTAATGATAAAAATTTATTATCCTTGTTCAGGTTCTAAATATTAAAAAGATTATGAATTATTTAGGTTCTGTTCTAGTTGCTATTAAACTTTATTGAGTAAAATAATTAATGTGTACTTTTGAAGCAAATTTTATAATTACAAAAAAGAAATCTCATTTCAAATAAGTATTGAACGTTGATTAAAACATATTATTGATAATGATAATGAAATTTTTAGTATTATTAAATTTGATATGTGTAAATAAAAATTAATACTTAGAAAAAACTCAACGAATAATAACGGATCGTAATATGTTTTTCAAATTACGACCTATTGTATTTCAATTTCTCAAATTGCTAATAACAACACGTTTTAATTATTATTTTATAGCTTAAAAATGTAAATTAAATGTGCTCCAACTATAAAACACATTAAAACCAAAGTAATCTAGATTTAAAAAAAACAACCCAGTACAGTGGGGAAGTGGCATAGTTGGGTCAAGTATAATGATATCTGTCAGTGATTAAAATACTATCATAAAAAACGTTTCTATACAAATCTGTAGATAGTGTTTAATTTTAATAAATTGGTGGAATATTCCAAAAGCAAAATTAACTCCTATTTCCTTTATTATTCCTGATTAGTAGTTTTTTTAATTAAGAAGTTTAATATGTGACAAAATATATATAAATATATAAAGGGAAATGATTTTATAAAAAAAAAAAAGGTATGTCGAATGAAAGAGGTACATAAATAGTATTTATCTTAAAAAAATTATAATGATCCATACATTTTTCATAAAGTTATAGCATTATAAAGTTAAAAATGTAAAATATAATATCGAGAAACAAAAATAGCATACGGTAGCCATTTTCACCATGAAGACAAAATAAACTCCGAATTTTTTTTTCCATAATAAATTATATTACATAATCTTTAATTTAAGATATATATATATATATAAGTGTCAATATTTCCGGAACACTTTCAAAAATTAATTTTTTTGTGAAAAAGTTGTCATTTTGAAACCCAACCTGTCCACAGGGGGGGGACAGGTAAATAGGTAAATACATTATGCATCTATGAAAAAAAAATTATAATGATATAATCATTATTGAAAAAGTTATGGCAGTTTTAAGTAAAAAAATTGAAAAAATATCCAAAATTATCGATATTTAAATTTGTAATTTTTTTGAAGATTTACCCTCATTTACGGGGAACGAAGGAAATTTTTTCAATTTTTGAGAGTAATGTTTTCGACTAGATACGATTTGTGATCTTTTTATGTATCGTTGAAAGAAATCGGTTCGGTGAGAGCTGAGAAAAAGTGGTAACAGACATAACAAATAAAAAAAAAACCAGCATAGGGGGGTCGCGGCACAGTGGTGACGTGGCATAAATGGATCAAGTATAATGATATCTGACAGTGATTAAAATCACTATCATAAAAAACGCTTCGATGCAAATCTTTAGATAGTGTTTAATTTTAAAAAATTGGTGGATTATTCCAAAAGCTTCATAAACTGCTAGTTCCTTATTAATATCCTGATTAAGATAAAGTATGTCGAATGAAAAAGGGATTATTAAAAAATAGTATTTCCCATAAAAAAATTATATTGATCAATACACTTTTCAATAAGTTATAGCATTATAAAGTTAAAAATGTAAAAAATAAAATTGAGAATTTTCACACAATAATAGCATTTGGTAGCCATTTTCACCGTGAAGACAAAATAAAGTCCGAAATTTTTTTTTTACATAATAAAGTAGATTACATTAGCTTTAATTTAATATATATATAAAAGTGTCAGACTTTCCGGAACACTTTCAAAATTTAAGTTGAAAAAGTCAATTTTTTGTGAAAAAGTTGTCATTTTGAATCCCCCCCTGTAGGCAGGTAAAAAGTCAGATTTATAAAAAAAATATACCAAATGATAGGTAAAGACATCATGCATCTACAAAAAAAAGAATTATATTGATCCATACATCTTTCGAGAAGTTATAGCATTATAAAGTTAAAAATATAAAAAAGAATTTTTTTACAAAAATCGTATTTTTTTTATTAATTTTGATATCTGTTTTCACCGTGAAGATAAGATAAAGTCCGAAATTTTTTTTTTTCATGATAAAGCATATTACATTAGCTTTAATTTAAGATATATATAAAAGTGTCAGACCTTCCGGAACATTTTCAAAATTTAAGTTAAAAAAATAAATTTTTTGTGAAAAAGTTGTCATTTTAAATCCCCCCTTGTGGACAGGTTAAGGGTTAAATTTATGAAAAAAATATACCAAATGAAAGGTAATGATATTATGCAACTATATAAAAATTAATTATATTGATATGTTCATTTTTGAAAAAGTTATGGCACTTTTAAGTAAAAAAAATTGAAAAAATTTCGAAAATTAGCGATTTTTAAATTTGTAATTTTTTTGGAGGTTTCCCCCATTTACGGGGAACGAGGGAATTTTTTTCAATTTTTAAGGGTAATGTCTTCGACTAGATACGATTTGTGATCTTTTGACTTCTCATTGAAAGAAATCGGTTCGGTGAGAGCTGAGAAAAAGTGGTAACAGACACAAAAAAAAAACAAATCTTAGTAATACCAATACCTTCTCAGCTTCGCATCGAAGCTAAAAAACACATAGTAAAACCAAGATCTTCTCAGTTTCGCATCGAAGCTAAAAGTGAATTTTTGAACTAGCTTAATTAGTTCTTTTTATAAAAATCATTCATGTAGATCACAGTGGTTGCGTTATTAATTATACAGTCATATAAGTTCTGAGTACAAAGTTCGAACCCTCGACATCCAAAAAAATAACTTTTTTTGCCTTTTTTCTTAATTTTTTTTGAAATTGAATAATAAAAGTAAATTTTTTATTCTTTTGAAATTTATCTGTAGATCATTTATTCATAATTAACGACAAATTATTTTCTGAACATTTTTGTATCAAGCCCTTCACTTTTTATACATGTTTTCCGTAAAAATACTTTTTAATTTTTTATAAATTCTCCGAAAAAATTACAATACTAAATTATTAAATATCAATCTCATACTAATTTAATTGCTATAATAAATATTTATTTATATATTATACTTCTAAATAAAAAAATTACTAATCAGGAATAATGAAGGATATACGAATTAATTTTGCTTTTGGAATAATCCAACAATTTATTAAAATTAAACACAATCTACAGATTTGCATCGTAGCGTTTCTTATGATAGTGATTTTAATCACTGTCAGATATCATCAATATTTGTCCCAAAAATGTCACGTCCACACTGTGCCGCTACCCCAATGTGGTACCTTCTTTTTCATTGCTTTTAACGATAAGCCTAACTTTGCAGTAAGTATATTTTTATATTTAGGTTAAAAGGCTAGTGCTTATATGCTTACCAATTATTAAAATAAGAAGCATCAAACAAGAAAAAATTAATAATTATTGTTAATATTTTCATGTTTTCATGTTTTGAGTTAAACATTAGCGAGAGCTGAGAAAAAGTGGTAACAGACACAAAAAAAATAATAAAAACACATCATAGCAAAATTAATACTTTCTCAGCTTCGCATCGAAGCTAAAAATACCACCTCATCTTAAATGAAATTTCATGTTTGGATTTTAGAGAGCTAAAAATAATTTTATAAAAAAACTGTCTTAAATTTTTTATAGCAAGTTTCAATTCCATTCCATATCATAACAACTAATTGTTAAAATAAAGCTAACAATAAAATAATGACTTTGTTTAACTTCAATGCGAAGCGGAGAAGGTATTAATTTTACTATAATGTGTTTTTTTTTTTTTTTTTTTTTTTGTCTGTTGCCACTTTTTCTCAGCTCTCACTGGACCGATTTCTTTAAAAAATACGTCAAAAGATCACAAATCGTATCTAGTTGAAGACATTACCCTTAAAAATTGAAAAAAATTCCTTCGTTCCCCGCAAATGGGGGAAATATTCAAAAAAATTACAAATTTAAAAATCGCTAATTTTCGAAATTTTTTCACTTTTTTTTCTTAAAACTTCCATAACTTTTTCAAAAATCAACATAATTTTTTTTTATACTAAAACCTTAGATATTTCCCTTTCATTTGATATCATTTTTTTGAAAATCTATCACTTAACCTGCTCATTAGGGGGGATTTAAAATGGCAACTTTTTTACAAAAATTAACTTTTTCAACGTAATTTTTGAAAATGTTCCGGAAATACTGCGTCCTTTAAACATATATCAAATTAAAGCTTATTTTATGTACTACAAAATGAAAAAAAAAAATTTGTCCCGACGACCTATCTTCTATACGCAAATGGCTACCATATTCAAAAATATGCTATTTTTGTATGAAAATTATGGGTTTTGTATTTTATTTTAATAGAAGTTGATGTTGCTTTTGCAATTATCCATCAATTTTTTTAAATTAAACACTATCTACAGATTTGCATCGAAGCGTTTCTTATGATAGTGATTTTAATCACTGTCAGATTAAATCTATACTGAACCCAACTATGCAATGTCTCCACTATGCCGCGACCCCACTGTGCTACCGTTTATTTTAGTTAAAAAATAATTAATTATTATATATTCTAAAGAAATGTGATATACTCAATTCAATGGATAACTTTTTGAAAATACATTATTAGTTGAAAATTTTTAGAGACAACAGACAAAATTTTTAAAGTAAATTATTTAATTAATTATTATAACAAATCAATTCTGTTAATAACTTTAAAACGAAGTATTTACAAACCAGTCGTGACATTGTTTTGAGAACTTTTATTATCAGTACTCTTTAGCTGTTGTAGTGCGTCTGGACGAATAATTCTCGATAATATAGGTGATTGTGAAGGAGACTCATCTGTATCTGAACCTCGAGCTTTGCTTCTACTTCTGGACCATTTTTCCTAAAAATCACAAAAAAAAAATTAATTTCTGAAAATATTAGGATAATTAAGTATCTAATTTTTTAAGTTTACTTTAAGCGAGGTGAAAAATGAATGCGTCATTTGGACTACATTAATAGTTTGTATAGTCGACTGCGTAGTGACAGTGGCACAAGAAGATGGCTGTATAGCTGACGGACAACATCCATGACCCGGTGTACTAGGTGACGATGATGATGCAAAGCTCTCAGTTGTAATATGACGTTCAATAGAAGCAAATTTTTTACACAGGATGTCTAAGTCTTCTGGATAACTAAGATCAAAATCTGATTTAGATAAAGGTCGATGCTTCTTTAAATCACCACAACTTTGCTCTTCTGAAGGCACTGAGGATCTATAGTAGTCATTATTTTCTAATGATTTTGAGCCCAATTTTCCAAGGAGTATGTCTTTACCTTAATCATTAATTAATGAAAGTTAGTTGAATCTCCAGAATTAATCTATGAAAANACACGAAATCATTAATTAATGAAAGTTAGTTGAATCTCCAGAATTAATCTATGAAAAATATATTAGCGACTATTTTATGAAAGAAAGATTATATAATTGTTATAATATTCATTCATCTTAATTTAACTATCAACTAATTGTCAAATATGATGTTTTAAGTTTTTTTTATAATTCAATTGTTTTGTTATTTCGATTGTAGTTATCAGAAATTAATTCAAGATTATATATTTTAATAAAGCTAACCATTAATATTTCAAAAGATAATGACAACGTTTCTTAAATAATTTTCAAGCAGTCGTGTATAAAAAATGAATTATTTTTTTGCATCATGTTACAATAAAATTTTAAGGATCAATACATTTTAACATGCACATAACAGTATTGTAGTTAGGGATTTTTTTTTGAGGAGCTATACATAAAAAAAAATTGTATTATCTTTTCAAACGAAAAGTAGTTGTATAACAGTTTTTTGTATAACAGTAGAATAACACTTCATAAGAAATATATTATATTTGGCATGAATAACTGTGTGATATAAATTTAAAAAGAATGTACCTATAGAACTTGTCGTTAAACGCATGGAGGTCTGATAAAGATAAATATTAATAGATCAAACGCATACAGAGAAAATAAAAGTTTGAATTGATTGGTGAACTATTCTTGTTATGAAAAATTGTATTGTTTAAATTTTTAAAAATCATGATTATTTTAGTAAAACTATAATTAGCACACATAATAAATGAACTGAAAAAAAAGTTTGAGATACAAAAATAAAAATAACGATAACACAGTGGGATGGCACCTCAGTGTGGACATGGCATAGTTGGGACAAGTATAGATGATATCTTTCAGTTATTACTATTAACTTCATTTTTTGGTTAACTTTAATAAATTGATAGATCATTCCAAAATCAACATCAATTTCTATTTCATTAATTATATCCTGATTAGTAGTTCTTTGATTATAAGTATAATATACAGATAAATTTAAACTTATTTATTAAATATTTAAATCATATACTGATTATAAAAAGTTATTCAACTTTGAATAAGTTATTAATTAGTCACTAATTCAATCTATATGATATTTGGTCAGTCAATAATTGAACGAATTTTTGCTTTTTCATCTGTAAAAATATATTACTTTGTTTGTGTATTTCGTTATAAATTGATATTCATCACGTCATTTCGTGGTGGAAAATATTGATAAAGGTAGTTATGACTAACAAACTAATATAACAGAGCCACTACATTGCTTACTGAAACAAGTATATAAGATTTTTGGATAAAGTTGGTTATGTAATGGAATATGTTATACATTAATAAATAAATATAGCCTAATTTATTTTTTATGAGTCTTAGTTCATGAACAATTATTTCTAATGAACTAGATTTAGATAACGAATATATTATGAGTAAACAAAAAATGCAACTTTTTGTTTTTATATAATTAGGCATTTATGTAGCAGGTCATTTATCGCATTATAGTGATCTACCTAGAAAATGTTAACCATTTCGCCCTCTTTTTAATTATTGATGTTGATTATAATGAAAATAGATTAATTTATAAAAACACTAAAATTATAACTATTATATTTACATAATTAAGATTTTATCAACTTAATAGTAGTTTTTAGTGTTTTTCTATTTTACAATAACAATAGGATGTTAGTACATTATCTCGACTTATGTTGAGATGTTTAAGAAAAAAAAGAGATCTCTTATGAAAAAAAATATATATATTATTTACAGTAAAAAAATAATATGTAAAAATATACACAATATGAATATAATGCAAAATCAGGTTTGATAACATGTTCTAAATAAATATTTATACTTAAATTAATTTTGTAAACTAAATATAATGTGTTTAAGTCATAGCTTTTCTATAATTTTGTTTATATAAAAAACCACCAGTATAATACGTAAAATTTTAACTTTTACTTTTGCTTTAGATTCAAGATAAAATAAAAACTTGTTTATATTATTCTACATATTCTTTTGTAACACTAAATATCATATTTATTCATAAAAAGTAATGAAATGGAGTGTATACATTAGGTTTATAAACCAGAAAATACACAAATCGAACACAAGAGATACTTAATATAATACCCTTGAAATTTATCTTTTAAAAGAAAAACATACAATAGATGTTGAAATTTTAATTCAAACCCCTGCTGTTAATAAACAAGGTAGATCAGTAAAAACATTTGAGTAAACAAAATGGAAAAAATAATATCTTATTGACAACAACAATAATATTGTTTTAAACAACTCTAATAGAAAAAATTGAATAACTCTGCATGACAAAAATGGTTTGACGCACTTATGTGATCAAATATTCAACGCGTAACGAATAACATTTATTTATGTTAAATTGAAGTTTCATGAGTAAAAATATTTTATAAAAATAAGTTGAACTTTCTTACTCTTTTTTCGAGTAACTATTTCAAATTTATTTAATATAATAAATAGTTTTCTAATTACATAATCATGATGTGCACACACCTTCTATTAAATGAATTTATAATCATAATTTATTTAATAAATATAATTTACCAGTAGAATAATGCACATGACTAAAAGTGATTTAAAGACGTCTTTTAATTCTATAATTAATATATTAATTAAAAGCCGCGATCCTATTATATCAATATTTTTTACATTGCATTTAACTTAAGTCAGAGTTTCAAATTTATTACTGGTGTACAATATGCATAAATCACAAATACATTAAAAGTATAAACCCATTATATCATGATGTTTTCATGACTAAGTTTTAGTATTTTATACTATATAATAGTGCACTGTGTATAGTCATAAATAAATGTGAGTGAACACGTATGTACGTGTGTTAGATTAAATATAAAATTTAATTCTAAATGATCATTTCATGTGTTAAAATTTTTAAATCGCTTAACAAAGCATTCACAATAATAAAATGACGTTTAATATTTTTTTCTCTTAAATTTTTTTGAAATTATACATTTTTGAAAAATATTTGAAGATAAAATTTTCAATTAAAAAAATAATCCCCTCAGAACTTTTAGAATAACAATATAATATATGTATCATAGTTAACAAAATTCAAATACAAGAATTTAAGGTATTTGTTTGGTTAAACAAATTTAAAAGTATACTAAAATCAATAAATAATTACTTAAAATGAAATTATTTTAAAACAAAAAAGTAATCAGGTAGTAAAATGATAAAAACTCTTAAAGAAAAGCATTTTTAATAGAACTTCTTAACAGAAGTTTAATTTTTCAACAAAAGTTTTACAATATTTAAAAAAGACGACATCATTATGTTTTTGTATTGTTTAAATAAAGAACAGCTTTTGATAAATATTAATTAAAAATGTTGGGTGGTTCAATTTATAAAAATTCGAAGTAATAGAAGAATCAAGCAAAAAAATTTAATTAATGTTAGAAATCTGTGAGTTGTTAGATGAATGCTTTTATTTTATATTATTTATGTAATACACAATAGTTTTATAACTTAAAAATTCGCAGACAATTATTAGTTATTGTTGCACTCGAATGTATAAGAGTGCATAAATAAATATGCTTTTGATACATAAACAAAAATAATCATGTTAAAAAATGAGTTTTTAAATAAATTTTTACCTTAAGTTATATAATATATTAGTTTATTATCTAACACATTATAGTTTTTTAATTAAATATGATTAAGTTTTATCATTTAATAAAAAATTTAACGAGATTAAACGTTGTAAATGTAATGTTCTGCATTCTCGTGTAGGTACTAAGATTTCATTTTACAGGCGCCTATATGTCAACATTAAAATGAGTATTTGATTGCCGGCGTGGAATGCATTTTCAATTAAGCTTGCATTTTATACCTACTTTTATCAACTAATTTTGATGGAAACGTAAAATAAAAATGTTTTGTGATTTATATAAATTGTTCAAATTCTTACGCTAAAAATATTCAATATTTATAATGTTTGTTTACTGCTAAAACTTTTTATAATAATTAAATTATATTAGTCTTACTAGGGAATAACTTAGTTTTTAAAGGTACAAATCATTAAGATTGTTTTTTTAATATTATGTACCAATGCAGTCTAATTCATCAAATTATAACACAATACAAAATATTTCTTATGCGTAGCATAGTTACAAATTAACTTAGGTGAAATATGATCTATAACAATTTTATGGATTATAAATGACAATCCATAATTAAATTTGTTTAAAAAATAATTTAATAAATATCAAATAGCATAATGATTTAAATCAATCTTTTTGAAAACAATAAGATAGTAGCCTAATATTAGTTTTTCATTATGGCCGAATTTTATGTGTATACTTCTATTAAATATAAATTTTAAAGTATAAAAAAACCCAGCACAGGGGGGTCGCGGCATAGTGGTGACGTGGCATAGTTGGATCAAGTATAATGATATCTGACAGTGATTAAAATCACTATAAAAAAAAAACGGCTTCGATGCAAATCTTTAGATAGTGTTTAATTTTAAAAAATTGGTGTAATATTCCAAAATCTACATGATCTGCTAGTTCCTTATTAATATCCTGATTAAGATAAAGTATGTCGAATGAAAAAGAGATTATTAAAAAATATTATTTCACATAAAAAACTTGTATTGATATTCGAAGCTAAAATGTAAATTATAAAATCGAGAATTTCCACACAAAAATAGCATTCGGTAGCCGTTTTCACCATGAAGACAAGTCCAGAGGTCAAATTTTTTTTTTTCAAATTAAAGTATATTACATTAGCTTTAATTTAAGATATATATAAAAGTGTCAGACCTTCCGGAACACTTTCAAAAGTTAAGTTGAAAAAGTTCTACTTTCTATATGCATTTTTTATATTTGAAGCCCCCCGTATATAGGAAAATAATCCGATTTAAAAAAAAAGTATGTCCAATGAAAGATGTATATAAATACTACTT